TTTTTGTTCTTTGATGCCTGATATCCCTTGTGATCACACAGGCTGGTGTGCTTCTTCCATGTGGACATTGTTGCTTCCAAGCTAGATGGCCATTTGTTTACCTTCAAGCAAAAGGAAATCCTTTTCATAATAAAGTTATAAGAAAAAACTTGGATGACGGGAGTAATCAACTAAGTTTTTTTTAATGTGAAAGTATTTTCTTCATTTTTTACTATAGTGATCTCCTACAATATTTGTCCTTTGTGATTGACTAATTTAACTCAACATAATATCCTTCAAGTTCATCCTTGGTAGAAGGTGTTTTACAACTTCATGGTTTGCCTTAGTGTTGTACAGTTTTTTATTTATTTTTCCAGGGATGACCAGCTACTGTATTTCCATTTCTTGCCATTTGAATCGTGCTGTGGGGAACATAAATGTGCATGTATCTCTTTGTTTTGTGGCAAATATATATCCTTATTTCTCTAGGATATATGCTCAACAGAGGGCTTGCTGGGTCCTGTGGTATTTATATTCTCATTTTTAAAAGGGAAATGTTATGCTATTTTCCTCATCTGTCCATAACCAAAACTCAAACTCATTGGCAGTGAGTTGGTATCAATTCATAGCGACCCTATAGGACAGGGTAGAACTGCCTTGTGAGTTTTTGAGATGTACCTATTAATGAGAGTAGAGAGCGGCTGCTGGTTTGAACTGAGGACTTTTTTGCATTGCAGCTCAACAAGTAACGGGTGTGCACAGGTGGATGAATTTTCTTTTGTTTCTCTGTTTGGATTTATTCTAATGATTTCATCTTTGGGGTAGCTATTGTAAATGATATAATTTTTTCATTTCCTTTTAAGAGCTCTCTTTGTTAGGATAAAGGAATCCAACTGATTTTTGTATGTTGATCTTGAATTTTTAATTAGTTCCAACACTTTTCTCGCTGAGTCTTTGGGATTTTCTATGTATAGGATCCTATCATTCGTCCTCCAATAGGGAAAGTTCTATTTCTTCTTGGCCAACTTGGGTGCCTTCAATTTCCCTTTCTTTCCTTATAGTTCTGGTGGAGACTTCCAGCATAGTGTGATAGGCTGTGGTTGTTAGGTGTCACCAAGTAGGTTCCCACTCACATCACATAGGCGCGATGATAAAGGGCGTTGTTTCTTCTTCTTCTTTCTCTTGTTTGGAAGGTCTCTGCTATTAGTTTCTTTCCACTGAGACTAATGTTGGCTCCTGGTGAAGAGGATTTTTAAAATAGACTCAACAAAGCAAGAAAAAACAAAATTGAAGGATTTTTTTGTTCACTTTACAATGCTACTTGTCATCAGTCATTGCCCCTGTCCAATTTTTTTTAATCATTTTATTAGGGGCTCATACAACTCTTATCACAATCCATGCCCACATCAATTGATTTGGCTTTTCTCCTGCAGTCAGCGTCTTAGTGTGTGTTTTGTGAGATGGAGGAGGACTTTGTGGATTGGTGTCAGACATATGGGTTAA